GAAATCACATAAATATTAAAACGCTTATAGTTCTAAAAAGAATAAATATATTCAATATATAAGAAGTCTCATAAGTTTTCACCATTTTCTCTTTTTTTTAATCTATAATTCCAATAAACTACGTTAAGAAAAAGTGAAAATCAACCTAAATATATGTATGAAGTATAAAAAAATGTTTATCTTACTATGTAGGCAGCCTAAAGGCACATTTATATTTGGTGACTCCTGATGAAAGAAATTCATTCAGAACATTCACATTATGCTAGTTATACTACATATACAGGGTGTTCCTAAATAAGTGTCGCAAACATTATTTTCCTCTTCCATTTTTCTCTCCGGGCTTTTGTTTTCGAGATACACGGTGTCAAAACTGTAATTTTTTTTTAGTTTTTTGCCAACTTCTTAGGAACTTCCGCATTTTGCAGTTGTTGTAAGAGAGTACCTCAACAGAACATTCAGAGAACGATGGATCGGAAGAGGTGACCTGGTGCCCTGGCCCGCCCGGTCGCCAGATTTATCCCCACTTGATTATTTCTTATGGGGTCACATGAAGAATGAACAAATTAGAAATACCCATCAAATTATGAACAACGTTCATAGAAACATGATCCGCCGATGTAATGCGTGTATTCAAGCCAACGGACTTAATTTTGAACAGTTTTTGTAAATTTTAGTGGCTAAAGTGATAAAAAATTATTCTTAAGTTTTTTTTAAGTTAAAATCCTATTAAATCTGTTGTTAAATTTCGTTACAATTGTTAATTAGGTACTACTATTTTTTTAATTACAAAACATTTTTGAAACGTTAGCAAAATGTTGGTTTTTGTTCATAAAAAGTAAATTTTTTTTGAAAACGGTTGACTTTAGAGCAATGAACCAAGAGAACTCTTTTTGTGTAAAATTCATTGGCGCTTTAGAATTTACTGTTAAATGTCAATCTTTCCAGTAGAGTAAAAGTTAGGGGGGGAACCCTCACGATACCTTAAAATCTCACCACTGAAATGTCCAATGAATTCGAAAAGTAGCTATTAAGAGTGGTAATATGTGTACAAAAGTCCTGTAGTTCAAACGGTTCCTAAGACATTAGCAAAAAACTGAGAAAAGTTAAAGTTTTAACACCGTGTATCTCGAAAACGAAAGCCCGGGAAGAAAATGGAACAGAAAAATAATGATTCTTTTTTCAAGAGGAATTTACAGTTTCCCATTGCAACACTTATTTAGGAACACTCTGTATATTACTTAAAAAATAATACAAACTATCACTTTTTACTATTTTCTTGTATCATGTAAAATGCATTTTGAAACAAATTTTTCAGAAAATAAATAAATATAAATATATAAATTAATATACTTTATATATTAAAGCAAATTTTGCCAATCTTTTTATAGAATCAAGTTGTTTTTGCGTCTGATATTGCATTATGTCATTACATATTTTTAAACAAATTGAATTATGCACCACCCACTGCAAAAATTAATATATAGTATATTTTAATAACATTGCATACGTGTGAATGTTATGCAGGAGCAGGTATCAGCAACTATAAAAGCAAAAATATATTACGGAAAGTGTCATTCAAACCAGCAAGTAAATTTTAAAACTATGTACAAGAACAATATTTGGCACTAGATAATAAAAAATTTCAGTACTCTACAATTTTTATAATACACTGAACTTCTAAAATTTAGAACGCCGTTTTGATATTTTTGGCACAAGGAAACTATACTGAATTGGAAGAACTGAAAACTATGACTAAGAAAAAAAGTACAAAACGATTGCACAAATAAAATCATACAAGACTTAAAATTTCCTATGAGCTAGTAAATTTTATAGAAATAAAAAATTAACTTAACACTTAGTTTTCACCGATAGGACATTATCAACTACATTAAACCCTAGGAACATAAAATTTTATTAAATCCAGGTTTGATATGTCAAAAACTGAACTTCAAGATATACCAGGTGTTCGAAAAGTTTGGAACCCCCCTATCTCAGAAAATACTAGTCAAACAAAAAAATGATGAGGACAAAAATTTCAGGGTTTTGAGTGAGCAATCCAACGGTGACCTTGACCATGACCTTCAAGGTCATTTAGAGGTCAAGTTGATAATTTTAAATGGAAGCGTATACTTTTTCGTAAAAGCATTATTAAAGTTCTTTGCTTACGTTTGACGTTACAGTTACCTTTAGGTTATGGTCAAAGACAAGGTATAGGTCTTTTGAATTTTACGCTCACTCAATTACCGCAGTCAAGAATATCGGGTCATGTATTAAAAATCGACTTGACCTGTAAACGAAGGTCAAGGTCATATCCAAACGTAAAATTTCCATTTTTCCATTTTCTGGATCAAAATATACGGTTCCATTTAAACTTTTAGGTTGACCTCTAAATGACCTTGAAAGTCATGGTCAAGGTCACCATTGGATTGCTCACTTAAAACCTTGCAACTTTTGTCCCAATCATTTTTTTGTTTGAGCAGTATTTTCTGAGATAGAGGGGGTGTTCCAAACTTTTTGAAAACCCTGTACAAATAAATAAATGTACATTTCTAAATGCACTCATTGACATTTTTGTTTTAATTTTGTATAAAAAAATAATAAGAGAAAAATATTTTAAATAAATCATTTAGTAGTTCCCTTGATAAATTACTAGTTAATATTCTTAATCACAGTATATATACTGGTTTTTCAAATAATCTACAGTTTGTCACATCATTAAGTTGATTTTCTATCAAGCAGCATATTTTTTTACTTGTACTGCACGCCTTTTATCGACATTCATCAAACACATAATTATACGTGATTTTTAATCATTACATCCAAAATTTTCCTCCTCAAATCGAGTCTGGAACACTCTGCTTTGCGCAACAACAATTTTGACATTGTTATTTTGCTTATAAAACAAACTACTAGTAATAAAGCACATTTTAGTCATTTCATTGGATCAAAATCTATATGACAGAATGGTGCGACCCCTTTTTTTTCATCACATTTTGTCACATTGAAAAATTGTTATTTATTTACTCATTTCAGTCCAAAACAAAAAAGTTGCGTTTATTCAAATATCTCCGAAGATTTTTTATCTAGATTGATGAAATTTGGACTAATAATTTATAGAATTTCAAACTTACAGATATATAAATAAATGTGATATTTTTCTTTTTAAACCTTAATACCTTGTATCTCAAAAATCAGTGGCTTTAGACATTAGATTTTTGATCTAAAATGATCCGAGCAACAATTTCTTCTAATTATGTCAGACTTCAACAAAAAAAAAAAAAAACATTTTTTATCATGGATTTCGATTGAAAAACGAAAAAACTTTTTGTTCTTATTTTTTCGATTTAACCCATATTTGGGCCATAACATGGCCATAAAAACAAACAAAAAAAACGAGAATCTTGAGACAACGGAGTACCTTGTTGGGATCACCTTTTTTAGAAAAAAATGTTTCATATAAAAGTTGTAGGGTGAAAAGGAGGCTATCTTCACATGACCTTGAAAATGGTGAGAGGCGAGAGGGCTCACCAAAAACAAGCATGATGGTGAGAGGCGAGGCGACTCACCGAAAACAAGCACCCCAAAGGGAATAAAAAGTAAGTAGTTAATAATTATACAGTTTTTCGACCCTAAAATGGCCTTGACATCTGATCTTGTTCTTGAGGTTAAGTTCATATCTTATTGTAAAACTTCCCGCTCTTGTAATTTCCGAGATCAAAAAAGAGGGTCCCATTTAAAATTTTGAATTTGATCTTCGAACGACCTTGAAGTCAAGGTCAAGGTCATTTTCAAGGTCATGTCAAGATAACATTTTTTTTTAAAGTGATACCAAGGTACTCCGTTGTTTCAAGATTTTTGTTTCTTTTTTGTTTTTTATGGATTAAATCGAAAAAATAATAAGAACAAAAAGTTTATTGGGGTTTCCATTTATATAAATCAATTTCCGGTCTAAAAACACCACTTTCGATCTAGACCGGAAGTCGTAATATGGACCTTTCAATGGGCTCCTCGGTGCCCTATAATTCTTGTCTGAAACTTTTTTCGAAATAATCGAGTCCGAGATATTATTTTGCCTCAAGAAAAATGCCCCACCCAAAATATTTTTTTGAAAATTAATGAAAAAATTTAGGAGAGGTAAAAAAGGAATATATCACATTTTTTAAATCACAGAAACGCCTATTTGTTTTTGAAGTAAATTCATCAATTTATCAATTCTGATAATTTTTTGAATTTGATATGAAATAATTAAAATATGCAATAAGTTAGACAGTGCCATAAAATAATAATAATAAAAAAATATTCTAGGAACACAACTTGAATTCTATATTATGTAAATAATATAAAATAGGTATTTATTTGCACAGCGTAATCGCTATCTGTATGCACCAAGGCTTAGAAATTTCGGTTGAAATCAGTGCATTGCAACTTGCAAATACTGGGAAAAAAAAACCAAGGTACATAAGATATTTTTGCACTACCAGCTCAAATTTTTATGAAATTGATAAAGAGCACTATGCAAAGATACAAGCGAGATTAGAGTTATCATATACTTCCTATTTTTGGTTTTGCATTCAAATATTTAAGTTTTATCACTATTATGAGATATATGTGAATTGAATAAATATCCCCAGAGAGCTGGCAATGCAAAATCGAGACGGTATATTATTTTATTGGGATTAAAAGCAACATTTTTGTGGAAAAGCCACAAAAATGTTACACTCACTCCAAGGACTCTTCTTCAAACGTTGAAAAGAGTCTAATGAAATGCTCACTTCGGATGCATGAGAATATGTAAAAAAATTGTAAAATCTGTTAGAAATTTATATCGCCACTAGACGATAAATTCTCTTAAATCGTCAAGAGGGAAGCTAGAGCAGTTAGACCACTTATAGTTTTACATTATGTTATGTTAAATTACGATTTACGATAAATTTTACGATTTTAATTTGAATAAAATACAGTATATGTACTAAATAGAAACGGAAAGAAACATGAACAATCTTGGTACTATTACCAGTACCTCTTTCCATAAAAATATTTGTCACAATCGGTATAAGCTCGCCCGCAAAAATTCGCATTACCAATTGCAATAACCGAGTCACTATGCGCACGGTTGCGAATATATACGGTTTGAGCAGCCTGATCCAATTTAACTATTCATGCGAATTTATCCGTCTGGAGCAGTTTGAGCCCTATAAATTTTTAGCGAATATATACGTCTGGAGCAGTGAAAGGGTTAATGCCAATGAAGTTGAGTATTATGCCAAGCTGCTATGAATTCTGACAAAGGAACATTTGAAAATAATAACTCTCATTTTTGGTACATTATTTGGTTGCAAATTTACGACTGCGAATGATAAAAAGAATTTGTGTTCAATATACAGTGTTACAAAAAAAGTAGGTCAAGCAGTAGTTTTCAAGGTGTCAAAATTTAAAAACAAAAATCTTTTTTTTTAATGCCAGTATTATACAATATACAAAATTGGACACCCTTTATCTTGAAAAAAGGCTCCTAAATGAAAAATAGCATAAAGAAAGCCCCAATATTTTCCCCAAAGGTGCTGTGGCTCCACCTACTTTCTTTGTAACTCTGTAAGCAATGTTAGGCAAAAACTTCAAACACATTACTTTGAATGAACAAAAAAACTGTTTTCTGAGTCAACTGTTTTCTGACTTTTTAACGTTTGAAGAGAATCAGTTTGAATGTAAATCAGTACGAATTATGTAATTAGATATTCTTAATTTAAGAAACTCGTGAAGAATGTTGAACACCTATTTTTACTAGAGAATCCAAGATTCGTATGATGCTGTCCAAAATGTGACAGCGGTCCAGGAAGGAAATTGCCCTACTAATTTTTTTAAGTTGTGGGAAGCCTTACCTGGCCCGAAAAGGTAGTGTGAGGTGATGGCAAGGTCCATCACAGGACCAGAATGACTTCCAGGAATCTGACAAGAAGTTTATGTTTTACAACCTTATTCGCCAACATTGCTTTGAAAATTAAAATTTAGTTTAGGATTTTTTTTTAACAATAATTAAATATTATTTTCCTCTCAAACTTTATCATGACAAAGTTTGGGCAGTTGACCAGCTTGTTTTTTTTTTAGATTTTAACCTTCATTGAAAATTGCTATCAGGCTATTGTTAAGTCTTAACTCTTAGCAAATGATAGCAATTTTCAAATCTTAAAGAAACAAGCTGTTTCATTGTCTCGTCTTTATTATGATAATTGAGAAACTAATAATTTAATTATTGTTAAATAATTCTTAAACCAAATTTTAAAACATTCTTAAATCAAATGACAGGATGCTACAAGTTAATCCACTGATAACAATGTTGGTGAATATGGCTACTAATTAATCAACAACTACTTAAAGAACTCAACACAGACCAGACAGACTGAACAATAGGGAACTGCATGATGGCTGTTAAAAGATAAATTCGGCATCTACCATCTTGTTCATTTTAGTTATTACTAATTTAACCAAGGGCATAGATAATTGTTCTAATATCTTATCGGTCGGTAGCCGCATTGTTTAAGGCATCAGTACTTAAATCGATGTGTGCTAATCCTGATCGGGTTCGATTCCCGCGGCCGGTAGACCGTAGAATAGCTAAGCTTGTACAGAGGATTGGCACCCTCAGTGCAAGTATGGTAGGGTGGAAGAATGTTGGCTTGGGTCAATGTGAGAGATTGACACCGGTTGGCATTTGACCACCCCCGTAATTAATGAGGTTTTTCAGGTTTCCCTCATTCCTGCACTGAATGGTGGTTAGGGCCTACCAACATAAATCGTTTTTGGGCGCAAATGCGGCCTGCTTAATAATAATATGCCGCCTCCTCTCCCGCACAAGTCTTCGACTTCTGGGCTAATTCTCGTAGTTGGAATAAGGAGTAGAGATATTATTATTATTATTAATAAAAGCGAACATATTGGTAAACATCTGTTCACTCTCTAGATAAGCAAAAATTTCAGCTATTGTACATCGTCACTGTTTGGTACTATGTCATATTTTCCAGGATAGGTCCTGGCCTTATAAATTTTGTAATATTATTTTGCATTTGTTTACATGTATTAATTTCATTTAAAATTGAATATAATAAATAATTATTTACCTATATTCTTATCAACAAAAATTTAAATTATTAACAATTTTTTTTTTAATATGTAAATGCTAATATTAGGTATCCGTTAACTTTCAAAAGTTTCTGAAGGTCATTGAAATTAAAGTGTCTTAAACTAGTGCCTTAAAAATTTTCTCTTCAGTATTATGAAGATTTTTTTTTCTAATAAGCATAAATTAACAAAAAAAAAATAATTTACACCAGACGTAGTTAGTAACTATGCATTAGGCTGATTAAAAAAAAAATCGACTATTTTTTTTTCGAAATCCCCTCTGAAATAGATTCAGAGAGATGAGAAGAGATGCTTGTAAAAATCGGAAGTCTTAATATTAATATTTAGAGGTCGTGCATCGCGATTTTCTATTTTCCATTTAAATAACGTGGGAAAAATTATTTTTCAATTTCAGAACTTTATATCTTAAAAACCAATAGATGCATTTAAATGACCGAAACATATTCTTGTTCTACGTTCTACAAAAAATGTTCCTTATCATTTTTTGATAAACCTACTCATAGTAAAGAAATAATTTAAAAAAATTTCAAATACTATTTAATACAATGAAAAGGATTTTAATTGATTCTTCCCAGAAATGGTTGGTTTTTCAGTCATATTAATTTGAAAGACTTGATAAACTTATCAATTTTGACTTTTAAATGCCTTTTTTATAATATTTCATATCAGTTATCATTTCACCTGAAACTGGAGAAAAAAGTGTAATTATAACATAAAGGACCCTGCACAAAATATATGGAAAATGGTCTTTCGGTAAATCTTGCTGAAATTTTCAGGTAGATTTCAGCTTGCTGAACAAAAGTCTCGATGACACCAGGATCAAAAAACTTCACCCAAGGCCATTGTGCGGTTTGAAATATACGAAAAAAGGTATTTCGTTGTATCTTGCTAAACACAGGTCAACATTTGATCCACAATGAAACAAACACCCAAAGCGGTCTGGTCCTTATAGGGTTTTTGGGGTTGCTGATTATGATGAGTAGGTCAGTTAATCCTTTGAGTCATACATGATTCTACAGCACATTTTTATCTGAATTTTTTTACTCGGGGCTTTTCAGGGTCGCTGATCGCGAATATGAAGTTAGATTTTCATAGTTTCTAAATCCAAGATGGCGGATCCAATATGGCCGACGGTCAGTCATGCATTCTTCTACTCAATTTTTTTGTCTGAATTTTTTTACTCGTGGGTTTTCAGGGTCGCTTATCGCGAATATGAAGTTAGATTTTCATAGTTTCTAAATCCAAGATGGCGGATCTAATATGGCCGACGGTCACCTACCGTGACCTCAGAAACATATTTGTGAATATTCAAATTGACCTTGGCATGACCTTGAACGACCCCTCGGAGTCGCTGCGGGGTCAAGCGAACTACGGTTTCGTGATTAGGGACCTCGAAAACATACGTATGAATTTTTTCAGATTCTTTTGACGGTTATTTCTCTACTTGACCTTCAAATGACCTAGAATTGATCTTAAAATGCCTTGAAACTGATGTGATGGAGCTTAACTGGCCTACTCATCGTAATGAGCACCCCGAAAAACCCTATATAAGGACCAGACCACTTTGGGTGTTTCATTGTGGATCAAATGTTGACGTGTGTTTAGCAAGGTTCAACAAAATACCTTTTTTTACATTTCAAGCCACACAGTGGCCTTGGGTGAGGTTTTTTGATCTTGGTGTCATTGAGACTTTTGTTCAGCAAGCTGAAACCTACCTCTTTGCAAAATTTCAGCAAGATTTACCGAAAGACCATTTTCCATATATTTGGTGCGGGGTCCTTTAACTTTGAATTTGAATAACTTTTGTATGAGTATCAAAAAATATACAAAAATATGTTTCGGTCACTTAAATCCGCTTATTGGTTTTTAAGATATAAAGTTCTGAAATTGAAAAATAATTTTTCCCATGTTATTTAAATGGAAAATAGAAAATTGCAATGCGCGACCTCTAAATATTAATATTAAGAGTTCCGATTTTTACAGGCATCTCTTCTCAAATCCCTGAAACAATTTCAGAGGGAATTTTGAAAAAAAAATAGTCGATTTTTTTTAATCAGCCTACTAATACACCTATCAGAGATTAAATTTATGTAATATCGAATTTATTTTTTACGGGAAGTTGTACAAATTTCGTTTTTTTTTCAGTATTCAGAAAAACTTAATTTATATTAAAACTATAGAAATGAAAATGTACTAGAAATATTACATTTTATTTTTTTTTGTACATGTTTAAAAAATCTGTGAATGCTTATAATGTATTATTAAATTTCGTAGAAAAAATATGATTAATATAAGAAAAATAAGCTCTGAATATTAAACCTAAATTTATTGTATTGTAACACATCAATACAGTTTTATTTAGGATGTGAAATTGCTTAATCCAAACCTGTTAAAAGTAGGTTTAGGTTTTTATACACTTCACTGTGTACTGCTTCTCAACTGAGGTCTATGTGTGCAGTCTATCTGGTCTGTGCGTCCGCAGAATAATATAAAATTCAATAAAAAGCTTTGGGTAAAATGCTAAGACACATCAATTTTGTTCCTTGTTTGAGCTATGAAATCATCGATTATTTCTTTAAATGAAAAATCTTGGCCACTATTATATTATTTTTGAAAAAGCTTTCAACAAAATTTTGTTTTTCATCTTTAAAAATGAAGAATTTTATTTAGGTTATTTTTATTGATATTTTATGAAGTCTTTTTTTTAAATTATAACAAACTACTTCCTGAAAAAATTACCCCTAACCATATTAATTTAATGATATTAAAGAAATTACATTTAGAAAAAAAATTAACGTTAAATTCTTCGAATGGCAAAATTATATATAAATACCTTAAAATCCATGGAGAAAACCAGAGGCACGGGATTCATTCCATAGGCATAATAAATAAAATATGTATCTCTCCCTCTCCAAAGAGGCCCCGCTAGTGGTTTCTCAGATTTCAGACTCCAATTTTGTAATTTAAGTCCGGAAACAGGGGATATTATAACTCCTATATGTGTCGGACCTAAAACAGGATATTTTTACATACAGGGTGGGCCATTAGTGTGAAAAAGTAAATTAACTCCCTCGTTACTCATAATACAGAAAAAAGTTTATATCAAAATTATACAGAATCAAGAAAGCTAAACTACAAAATTAATTTGAAATATACAGGGCGATGAGTGAAAACGGAACATGCCAAATATTACATTTTTTAAATGGAACACCCTGTATATTTTTAAACATGTGGATTTATGAGAAAATTCTGTGGCAATATAAACAGTTTAACATTTTAGTGTGGGGTTGCCAAGTTATGTAGAAAATTCTTCGAATTTTGGAAAAAACGACCTCGAAAAAGTTATATTAACTTTCAACTACTAATACTTGGAACAAAATAATTAGACAGTGTTATAGACAAATGTTAGACAAAGGCTCCTATATTAACTAATATCGATATTTTAAACAGGGCAATTTTTATAATTCTATCATTTTTAGAAAGTTTAAACTTGATTTTCTAAAATTTTTCAAATGGAACACCCTGTATTTTATTGTTCTATTTTATTCACATATCGGTCCACTTCAACTTTTATTAAGCACGTTCTATATCTAAAATTGTTAGTTTTTAAAATATAGCAACATTTTTGCAAAAACTTAATTAAGGAATATTGACATAACTGTGTGCATAGAATACCATAAAATACGATGTAGATCACTTTTTTTAACTTGTTTATGCTTAATTCTAAAATATTAGCATTGTAAGAAATTTAAAATTCGATAAAATTCATATCAATGTGACAACGGCGCGGCGCGGTACTAAGGTGTTCAGCAACCACCAATACGCAATTCAGTTGGTATCTGGATTCGACTGTGTTGGATTGTTTCTTGCGTACCATTATTTCCTTTTCTTGAGGTGTTTTCCAGCGAGTGAGCGAAAATTGGAATCGAAGGTGTCGTGCTTGCATCAAAAATGGTGGTGGACATTTTGAGCATATGTTGTAGCTTGTTTTGTACATGTGCTTTTAAAAATTACTGAATTTTGCTTTTTGGCAAGTACCTAAATTATTTTTAATAAGTATGATTATTTGGACGACATGAATCTTTGTGTACCTTAATTATATATTTTTCAAATACATAATTTGATTAAAAGTCAAGTTCCTGTTTTAACAGATTCATAATTACTAAAATTCGAGCTAAAATTTAAGCACGACACTATCTTGGTACAATAAAATCGATACATTTTAATTTATTTATTTAAAAACCGAAAAACAATCATCTTGAAATTTATTAAATGTTTCACAATAATAGTTGTTTACATTTTTTCCGTAGGACAAGTCTGCCACGTGCATCAGCAGGTTAAGCACTGTTTGTTAGGGCAGAGTGAGACGCGGTGTAATTTTATAACTGTTGTATTGTATATAACCGTACAGGTAATGCAATTATAAATCAGTAACAGTAAACATTAAATACAAAACATCGGGGTCGAGAGCGTACAGCAGTGCGAACCTCGCGATGTCACATACAACGCTTGACAGGTGACAGCAACGTAGGCTCGATCTGGATATGGAACTAAGCGGGTGGGTTGTGTACAAAGCCCGATTTTCACACTAACACTGTTGTCACGTCGTGATGAAACTCCCCAATATTAATACTCGCTGTATTTTGAAAACTTTTTTGTTCATTTATGATTACTCTCTCTCATGCTGAATAAATGGCAGTCAAAATTCTTACACCCTGTATGTATGTACATACATATGTACAAAAAAAAAATAAAAAAGTTGATACATATGTACATATCTAATTGCATAGGTACAAACATTAGGTACATTGTATGGTATGTACAAGACGTTAATATGTAGAAGCTAGTTGAAAAAATCAGTAATTTTTTGCATGTGCACTAACCAAATGCTAGACTGTGTAGGTAAATAATATGTATGCGACAAACAAGCAGAGACTCGTCTTTGTTTTTGTTTCTGAGCACTTTGATAGTCATAAATATTGCAGTGCACGAAGAATCCGCCACACGGGTCAGCCGGGCACAGATAATTAGGGTTCTACTGTATAATGTGTATATTAAAATGTAAGTTTTTCGCATTTCAGGTAGCATTGGATTTTATAAGCTGCGTTATCAGATAAAAGAACGTAAAGTTAACACTTGTCCACAAAATTTAAAGTTTGCAGGTTGTTAATTGTTAAATCCGATACGTGAAATCGCCACATAACGGGTCATCCAGTGGGACCTAAACTTCTAATGTCATCTCTGTCATTATAAAGCCACTGTACTTACCTCGTCATACTACTTCCAAAAATAGTAGGAAAATTAGTATTTAACGCAATCTATTATTTAACAAACTTTTTAAATATCTAACGGACTGTACCTTCTATTTTTACAGTAATCCTCTCTCCATCTTCTATGCTCTTTCTCGACAGTACTTCCAGCTTTACAGGAACCTGAAGGTTAGGAGACGGTCCAGGGACCCAATGTGTCTTCCAGATCATCGTCAGTACCGGCACGAGATATGGTAATCCGCAATAGAGGTAATCCTCACAGTCTTTTTTAACGAGCTCAGCTTTCGTCATTTCGGGAACGTAACGATCGACGGTGTGCGGACTGTTTATGTCCATATCGGCGATCCAGTAGCCCGTGGATTCATTTGCTATGGCACCAGTGGCGTCGTGGAATGTTCTCCTTGTATGCTAAATAACCAATAATTTATGCTATTATACAGGGTATAACTTTAAGTGGGGGTCAGTATTTTAAGGGTAACAGTATGCGTTCCCCTCAATACGAATCTGAAATTCTTTCTTTTTTAATCAAATAAATAGTTATAATTAGTTTTTTAGAATGCACCTTAATACTTGTGTACGCCTCCACAGTAATATTCATGTATTACAAATACACAAATTGTTGGCAATGCGCAGTGCATGCGGAGGGAGATAGTGCAGGTCAACGGTGATGAAGTGAAGGGGGTCAGTTGTTGTTCTGCATTTGGAGACAGTACATTTAACTGCGAATTTGAATGTTTTTCATCGCTGGAATCCATTAACAGACTATTTATTTGTGTGTATTCTATTTATCATTATTGATTACTGCTTGAGTTTTTTGCTAGGTTACTTGTTAAGTACCGTTTGTGTGGAAAACACCCACTCAACAAAAGTAACTCGTGGCGTATGGTGCGGAATTGTGCATGCACTGCGACTAAAACGTGCCATTATTTGCAAGTTACACTAGCTTCTCCACGAAAATTACTAAAAAAAAGTTTAAAAAAAAACGACGGAATTTGAAAAAATAAACTTTGTATAATATGACCCCCACTCAAAGTTACGCCCTGTATAATAATTACATAGAGCGTATAATTAAAAATCTGTAATAAAAGATATATCTTACCGCTATCATAAAGCGTTGAGGTGCCAACGAATTCTGGTCACCGGAATAAGGAAATCCCAGTGGGGTTAAAATCAGTATGGCCAACGAGAGCAGGAACAGCCCCGTTAGTAGACTAAATATTCTCTCTACCTTCCTTATAAGCAGTATGAGAGGAACAACGAAAGTAAACAACATCGCGAAGAGAGAACTAACCATCACAGCTATGAGGTACTCGGCGTGGCTACCAGAGCCCGCTCTACCCATGATGGGTATGAACAGATATAGCGCCCCTATGATTAAATAGAAGCATTGCACAAAGGGCAGTCCCATCATGGAGATGTGCAGGAGCAACCATTTAGGATCTAAAAATTGTACAAATAAGGGATGCAAGAAAAAAGTAGGTTAAGCCGTTATTCGCAGATTTTTGTGAGAAAATGATAGGAGTGATAGGACCTTTCCTATGTCTTTCTTCTCTTAGGTAGCTCTTCTTCAAGCTGCAATATGTCACAGTTACAGTTTAAACAATTTTTTTTCTAATAATAACTCCATTGTTTTTCTTTCAGCTGAAATTTTTGCATAGACTTTTATTCTGTATCAGCATATTAGTTTTGTTCTGTTTTAATTTTGCTGTGAGATAAAATTTGAACTGAATTTCTTTAAAAAATAAATCAAACCACAATTTTTACTATTACCTAATCTGATAAAATAATTTTGTGTATTCCTGGCACGGATATTGTAATGTGCAGTTTATTTCGCATAGTGTTCCATTGTTCGACTTCTTGAAATCTCTCCCTGTCTCAGTTTCCAGCTGAGGCATATCAGTGCTTGTCATAGGCATATAAAAGGGAAAGTTGTTTTATTATTTTCCCATTCTCATTATTCTAAGTACAGTTAGTTAGAACTACAATGAGAAGAGAGAATATCTGAGACCTTGGTACCAGAATTGAAGTTTTAATAGAACTACTCATTACCAGAGAGAGGACAATTAGTGTCTTTAACCTTGAACATAGATATGTCATTCATAAACATAGATACATTATCCATGACGCAGTGGCGTGTCAGGTATGCATCGGAAATTTACGTGATAATTCACGAAAATTCCACGGTACATATATTTTTAAGCTTTATAAGATGTTTAGAAAATCAGGAATTGTATAACTACATATTTATTAAATAAAGTTCAGTTAAAAATAGTGTCGTTTTTTTAATTAGAAATTAGGAGTTAATGTAACGAATATCCTCAGGCGACGCACATGATGGAATAGTCCAATCCACGCTCCATTCATAACAGGGCTGCAGTTTGAATTCTGACCAATAGGAATTCAATAAACGCAACCGATGTCGACGGATGGACTAGAGATGGGCGCGAGTGTCATTTCATTTCTTTAGAACTAAATTAACTTAATTATTTTCTCCTTGTTTTACCAGTTCACATGATTTGCGGATTTTAAATAAAGGATACAAATTTTCACGAGGATAATACGATATATTTGTTACATAATATAATAATTATATTTTGCATAGTTTACACACAATGCATTTTTGAACGCGTACGCATCTTTACCCGAATTTGACCTAATCTTCGGGTTAGACACACATTGTCCGCCCTCTACTCATTACACCGACAAGTAATTAATGACTTCCTTTCTAGTGTTGGCATCTATCTCATTTTTCAGTACTTTTAGTACTTTTAGTGGTTTTACTGATTTTGTGTTACCTTGCTGTTACAATATTAAGTAGACTTTTTGCAGGGGCTGTTTTAATTTTTGGAACCCTCTAAAATGATACGCCTATGGAATTCCCCGCACGTCTTACATGTCTACATTTTGGTAACAAGTCATTGCCTACTATTTTGGCATTGGAGTATAAAAAGAAACTAAGTTTTAAAACTTGAAAAAGAAGTGTCTAAGTGAAAAAATAGAATAAGTCCTATCACTTTTGCTCAAAGAATTTATGGTTAACGGTTTAAATCACGTTTTTTTTTGACACCTAGTTACCAAGTTGGGTATGAGATTATATGTACAGGGTGATCCAAAAATAAGTAGCAATTGTAAAGAAAATATATTCTAATCTCTATGAGGCTCATATTTTCTATTTTAATTGTAAGTGAATAATTTTGACTATAGCCTATTTACAAATGCTTGAGAGATGAACGACCTTAGAAAAGGCAGTCTGTAGGCAGGTCAATATGCATAGTCATATCTAGTTCCAAAATTTCCCATTTAGTTAGGTTTATCGTACATTTCATATTTTTCATATGAAATGCAATAATCTGATTTTTACCACAGAAAAGTTTCATGTTTAATTTGTTTTTTATTTATTTTTGTAATCTCACGGCATAATACACCAAAAAAAAACATTCATGTCTCTGCATAAGGACGAATCCACCATAATCAAAGGTCATTCAACTGTCAAACATTTTTAAATGTCTTTAATTTAGTTTTTCCTGAAAGTATTAAAAAAATGTTCAAATCTAATACAACACAAACTAAAAATACTAGTATGTCTAATTAGCGCCCTCTAATGGCTTTAATCGAACTACTGTATGTAATAACTGGAATTACTTAAATTTATTGTAGAAATCGAAAATTTTCAGAATATATTACAAATTACCTCTCCATCTCCCAAAAAGCCTAGACTTTAGTATATTTCCTAGTGAAGCGAAAAATGCCCATATAAGTGCGATAAAACTAGACCGTATCCTAACTATAACACCTAATAATAGAACTACTGTCCATATGGTCTGATATGCGTCATAGTATAATTGAAACAGTGTCCAAGGTGATAATTCTAAGTCCTAAAAAAAGGGGTGAGATTTTTAATAAAAATACTTTAAAAGTAATGCAATTCGTTTGTTTACCTTATTATAATATTTGGCATGTAACAACACCGAGGCCATAGAAACCAACAGTGTAGGAATCACATATAAGAAATATATCCATAAAGGACGTGCATACCAACTCATGGTACGTCCCAAGCCATTCAAGAAGGATGCTATCACTACTGTTGATACAACAGATAATACCCAGGAAATAACCACTACAAACATACATCCTACCAGTTTTCTTATATATTGTCTTTTCTTTATGCCTACGGAAAAATGGAAGATTTACATATTTCTAGAAGCCTCTAAACAGAGTTAATTTTTAAATAAGATTATTTTTTTTTTTAATTTCCAGGATCTATATTTGATCTAAGTGGGAACCTGAAGAATTCCAGCTAATAAACTCAATTTTTGATAATTATCAGGGCAGAGAAATTCTAAGTTATACATTGTTATGCTTAAAAAAATACAAATGGTTAAAAAAAAATAAAAAATATTCAGTAGTGTACTAAATTTCGATCAATTGAAATTAGATTAACAAAAATTTTCCAATTTGCAAACATATTAATTTTTTTTATCAGTTTCCATTTTTCATTTCATTTATTAAATTTTTTGTCTTCCACATAAATATTTAATAAAGTATGATTATTTAAAAAGTTATACAGTGGCCATTATAAAATTTGCACCAAATAGACACTCAAAGGTCACTCAACTCTCGAATATTTTTAGGGTGTCTGAATTTAAACCAGGAAAATTTAAGAATCCACATAGAAAACAAAGAATAGTGACTATGCTATATTAACTTTTCGAAACCTTACCATTTTTAAGATACAGTGTTTTAATTTGTGAATTTTTAAATGCTGCTTGCAGACAGCATTGGCTTGGAAGAGGAAGTCCAATTATTTGGCCAGCAAGGTCTCCCGATATAAATCCTTGCGATTTTTGTGTCTGGGTTACTTAAACTCATTAATCTATTTTCAACCATTACAAATTTTGATCAGTTTTGGGCACAAATTCAACATACCTATAATGAGTTTACGAATCTTCATAGGAATTCGACAATCATTAGAGAAACAAATCACTATAAATTGAGAGTCATGCCCGCCATGTAGAGCATCTTTTATAAATTAAAGTTTTTTTGTTTTGTCAATCGTTATTTTGTAATAATTTTTGTCAGTTTGTGATATTATTTAATACATAACTCCAACTTTTTTATAGAATTTTGCTTTATCTATTTTCCAAAGCCAACTACTAAATATATTAGTAAAGAATTTTTAATTTTGTAATCATCGTGCAAAAAAAACACAAACATTTCAACTAGATTGTTCTCGCATACGATACAACCTTGCCACTCAAGACAAGAGTAGCTCTTCAATCTGGAAAACTTTGAAGTTTTCAATTTTGACATTAAAAATACCAAAAATTCGAAGATAAAAAAAAATTTAACCTCCCAAATATGACGCCTATGGTTACAATTAAAAGATCATTTTTATATCAAAAGACTGTCCATATAAGATTTAACACATAACTTAAGTTTGATCCTTTTCTATAAACAGCTATCTGGAAAATTAAAAAAAAAAACAATGCCAAAGGACCGTCCTCAAAGAGGCATTTTTGGATAAAACGATTTATGACGAATCGATAATCCCTAGAATTTGCTTCTTGAAATGATCAAGGTCAAGATCAATGTCAAGCATCGGATAGCCAGGGAGAAATCTTGACACTTTCGTATTTAACATTTTTCTCTAAAATGCTCTCCCGCCGAGTTATTCTGCCGTTCCGATATATTTAGGGATATAACAGATTTTTTGAAAATACAGGGCTTAAAAGCCTGTACCTGAAAAACAGTGAGGTTTCAAAATTTAAGTTTATGTAATAAATATAACTTATTTTTACTTCTTTTGTGGATTCCTAAATTTTCATGGTTAAAATCAGGTCAATAATGTGTTAAGTGAAATGATTAAATTAATATACTTACTATCAGTAACTTCAACATCCTTAACATTACCATAAATTGAATACAATGAAAATATCACAGATGATAAGTTAATAATATCGGCAATTAACATAGGCCAGCGAATAACGAACGCTCCCAAGAAATCGAAAAACACCAGATTTCCCGCTCTGTATTTCTCCACGTCTGACAACTGGTGGCCTTGCGCCATGCCCCTGGCTAGAGCCAATATATTATCCCCCGTTCTCTGAAGCGTACCGAGGGGGATTTGTTCTATCGAGTCGAATTTTGTATGGTAAACGTAGCCGTTGGCGGACCAAGCAAAATCCAATCCTGTCAACACAAATTGAAGAAAATAAAAGACAACGAAGTATTTAGGTAACCTTTTTCACCTACCGGAAACATTACCAAAATCCCTAAATATGCGATAGTCGGTGTCGCCGGGTATGACTCCACTCTGAAAAATCTCTTGAGCTAATGATGATGCATAGGGATAAGGCACTTCTTCCGAATAAGTTTCCAGTATCCAGGGGTGATTGGGACCAGCTTGGAACAGAACTTCTCTGCCTCCGGCTCCACATGCTTCCAGATTGATGAAGGCTCTAACCTTTAAATTTGTTGATTTGTAACGTTTCACAGAGCTACACAGGTCGTAAGTATATGTGAGGTGCTACACCTGTGAATAGTCACTGCTAGTCAATGTTTAAGCCTTCAAACTGTCAAGCAAACAGAGAATGACCTGCTTATCACCATTAGATGAAACAATTGTTTGACAGCTTGGCCATTTGAACGCCTAGACATTTAATACCAGTGACTACTCACAGATGTAGCATTGTTAAATCTCACCTATACTCACTCCATATCTGTAATTAATACACTGAAAGTAGCTAGATCATTGTCCCACCCCACCTATGACATACTAATGAGAACTATCTGCTGTTTACTAGATTGACTAGATTTTGTGGTTATAATTCAATGCTGCTTGTGGGATTAGTTGTTTCCCGCAAAATCATCAGTTTCAAAATATACAGAATATGGCACAGAGCAGCTACAGTTGGACCGGCGATTCTTTACGTTCATGCACAGGTAGTTAAGACAAATGATTAATAATAATCAATTAACGTGGAGTAGCTAATAGAAAAAGACAAGCAATCACCATCATGTATTGTGCTGTTAATGAAAATTCCGACAGTGGTTATTCATTGTGCATGATGAATGAAAAAGAGACAGACATATCGTCATTTATGGTGCAATTAAATTGCAGATATGTATTTGATTAGCGTCGCTTCCTGCAACTTTTGCTACCATCCGTCACCTGTCAACGTGTCAGATTAGTATTTTGTGCAGTAGTTGGTGGATTATTGTGCGTTATCTCAAAGCTCAAAATGTACATTTCTTACCTATGTTTGTCAAACTGTTACAACAAATCAGCCACTTGAAAATCATTTTCTGACTATCACGTACATATCAAAAGAACGGTAATAATTGAGGTTATGCCCATTATGTCAAAGACTCTTTATTAATTTATTTTTCAATACAATTTTAAAGTGTTATGATGCAAAAAATTACAATACAAATTTTCATTATACAAATGTTAATAATTATTAGTTCTTAAAGGAACGGTAATGCATAAACACATTTACTCATTTGAACTCGTTTCTTAATATTAGTTCATACAATTACGTTTAATGACTGTATGTAAAGAATCGCCGGCCCAAATGTATTAATTTTAGATACCAATGTATTAGGTACGACTTAGCCAAACTTACCTTTGTCTAAAAGTTGACATTAGGAAAAATATTTAAAAATGTCGAGGAAAAAAATCTTTGTTTAAAATACACATAATTAGTGCCCCCTAGTAGCTGCATTCACATACAAAAATGCAAAGTAAGAATTGTGATTTTAATACTCTGTACCTCTCTTGATATCAACTTTTGCTAAATTAGAGTATAAATCGTGTATAAAAAAATTGTTAAAAAAAATTGGTTTAAGACCAGTGTTTCCATCTCCTAATAAATTTATTTATCAATTGAATCTATATCTGTATCTTAAAAAACATATTCATAAGAAACTAATAGACAGATTTAATTACAAATAAATTTATTTGGCAATGAGGTGTTTTCCAACTTTTTAACTACATTATAAAATGAAAATAGGTTAAAAAATATGAAACCCGTATTTCCTCTTTTTTCATTTTAACCTCATTTAAATCCTAAAAATAAATTAAAACATGTAATTTAGTATTTTAGGTGTATAAAATTACTTTTACATATATGTTTTGCATACGAAAAATCGTCTAATTTGTGACAAATCGTTAAATCTGGCAATGATGGTTTCCTCTCAATTCGTTCAATGGGGTATGTACCACCTTTTCAGATATCAACAAAAAAACTTGATTTGCATTTTTTACCTTTGCAAAAAATCATTGGCAATTAAAAATAAGGTAAAAATAATTTGGCAGACAGCTGACACATGTTAATTGTACCATCTTTAATATGAAGTACTGGGAGTACTTACTTTTAAATAATGTCCTAATGTACTTTAAAACTTTTCTAAGGACATACGAATGTACTTCTTTAAAAAAAAAGAGAAAGCTTTTTATTTTTTTTACTGGTTTTAAACAAATACCTTGATATATTGTTCTCAGTTCAATTCTTTTCGCACTTTTAAATATTGACCCACTCTGTGTTCAGATAATATGATATAACATTCGACTGTACCCAATACTTTTATTTCTAATTGCAAACGTTAGACAGGGCTGCCGACTATACTAATATCGTTAGTCGGCATCTCTATCTATTCATATTGCACTCCGTGCAAAGTTACAGGTGATGTTTACTGTTTAAGGTAGTTCTTTCGAATAAAATCTAGACTTAAGACACGTAGGCAAATTTTTAGTTCAATAGTTAACGCAGTTCTGAATAACATATTTCAATTTTAAATCAATAGACCATTTCATTTTTTAGAAATTAATTTTCTATGTTTAAAGACTTAACACGTGGGAGATATTTCTCATAAACCACTTTTACCATTTATGCACAAATTTTTTTATGCGTAGATTTTTATTTTTTTGGTACAAAAAAATTATGATTTGTTAGTTTAGTATAATAATATATAAATTGTTTAGTTATTTTATGTATTTATTTTCAATGGAAATAAGATAGTTTTGTCCAATAAAAAGATATATTTTGCGTTTATAAAATATTTTTGCATTCATGTTTTATTTCTCTAAATTTTGTACTTTTTTTTCTGAAAAAAGATATGGTCACCATAAGTATATCACAAGTTGATAACAGTAGTGGATGCTTTCAATAAAATTTTTTAAAATCAAATAAAAATTTATATAAGGATTAGCGAAACTGCGAAAGTTTCATTATGAAATAGTATTCAGTGATGAGACTACACATTTTTTTGATCAAACACCTTATTATCAAAGCGACTGCAGCAGCTTCTAGTGGAAGACACAGAATTGTTGGATTTATAGAATCCTACCTAAAAAAACTAGTGCAGAAATCACTAACAGTTGTCACCCCACCAGTGTGCCAAAAGACATTTACTAATTTTCCTAAATTTTCAAAATCAAAATAAGAAAAAAAATAACTAATTTAATTTGACTAATTCCTTTACTAAAATCATTAAAACAATATAAATTTTTAACAAATGAACATTTGTAGGAAACTGCTCCTTTGGAAAAACCCACTTCTAATAGCAATGGCTTAACGCAACTGGCGGACCGCGGTCCAGGTCCGGACCGCGGAAGGTAAAATACTGGACCGCCAAAAATTTTTTGAAAGTATAAATTACTCAAATAAATTATTTAAAAAATGTTTTTTACGTTTAAGTGCCAATCTTATCATTTTTTCTAGTATTTTACAATTGTGTGAGTGTTTTGAGTTCTTAATTAGTAAGCAGATTAAATTTGAATCCAAATTAAAATAAAAAAATAAGAAATATGAATTTTTTTCTGGACCTTGTTAAAGAATTTCAAAAGTATCCGGACCCCATTTAAAATTACTTGCCGACCCCTGGCTTAACATTTACGAATGGTATAATTTATGGTACCTGCTAGTTACCTCTTTAGCCCATTTATGTTGTGTAATGAAACCATGGGATGCTGGCATAAAATTCTCTTCACCTCCATTGAATAAAAATATTATGTTGTGCCGGAGGATTTTTTCGGATTTTGATATTACTCTTAATATTTCCAACATTACAGCGCAACTAGCTCCATCATCGCTTGCACCTAAACATGGTGAAACATAAATTATGTAAATTCTACACAACTATTTTAGAGTAATTTTATAGGCAGATAAAGTCAGTAAGATTGACTGTATACAAAACAAATAATTTTTTGTTATTTTAAATATTTTTCAAAGATAAATACATATAAAGGATAAAATATAATACTTTTATTAGATGAGACAATTAAGATCCCATTAACAAAGATAATAACTTTTATTCCTAACCAGATTAAATAAAAATTTAGAGTTTTATTGCTCATATCAACAGATAAGAAATGTAAACATTATCTTAATTCTATACCTGGGCTGTCTACTACAGAGTCGAAGTGGCAGTTTATTAACAAACTGTGTGGAGAATCTATTTCTGAACCCACTTTCACCACGACATTTTGAACGTCCTGATAGACGTTGGTCATTCCATCCAAAAATTCTAAATTGAAAGCACCCGAGGCCTTTTGAATGTCTAGCTGTATCTTGTGTTTTTTGTTCGCATCTTTCATAATACTGTCAATCTCTTTCTGTAAAATTTCCACTGCCAATACTTCATTTTCATAACTTCCCGCCGTACGAGGTCCCATTTTTGTTAGGTTTTTCAATATGTTATAAGCCCTTTCAGCTATAAATCTTTCAGGATATTTCGTTTCATCTTCTAGTTTATAACCTGAAGGCAGCTGTTTCTCTATAATTATAACTAGAGAAAACACAACTAACATTAGAACAAATATTCCAATAAAGTATATAGGGGTTAGCGGTCGATGAAATTTTGATTTTTCATATTTGTTATCGTTATATTCCCCAGATGCAGTTTTGCTGTAAAATCGGTTCCTTAAGAATGTATTCTGAAAATGAACAGAAGATCATTTTCCGAAATATACATGGTTTTAATGATAAGTTTTGCCAAACTTTAATGACGTATTCTACCGTTGAAAATAATCAAGTTATGCCCTATAAAAATTTTTGATAGGACGTTTCCCTACGGAGAAACAGGATGTTAAATGTATCAAATATTTATATTATTTTTTCTTCACTGGCATAAACAATTGAGTGAAAAATTTGGGTGATGACATTTTTTAATAGGAACTATTTTTTCATGGATAACTTATTCCAAAATACACTCCAGTAACGTAGTTATTGGAGTAAGGGATCTTTTTTGAAAAAAAAATCGTACGCCAGCATGCATTGCATCCCAAAGACAGCATTTTGAACATTTCTTGCGATGTTATTGTATAGTGTTTTGAAAAATATTAGGTATTGAATTTATTGTTACACATTTAGCAATCAATAGAAAATGATAAATAGCAACGTAGGTACTTAAGTATCTTCTTATTTGATTTCCCAATTACCTAAAGACCAGTAAATTTTGCGAATACTTTACGAGAATACTTTATTGCTACAAATTGATTGTACATTTTAAAAACATTTAAAATTATTTAAAAAACCAGTTGCGTACGATTTTTTTTTCAAAGAAGGTCCCCTACTCTCCCAATAACTACGCCACTGGAGTGTATTTTGGAATAAGTTATCCATAAAAAAATAGTTCCTATTAAAAAAATGTCATTCCCCAAATTTTATCACTAAATATTTCTTGCCAGTGAAGTTACAGTAAAAATCATATAAATAGTTGAAACTTTTAACACCCTGTAACTCCGTATTATTTTGATTGGTAGAATACGCCATTAAAGTTTGGCAAAATTTATCATTAACACCCTGTATAGAACAAAAATCGTGTATAGAAGAAACTGTTAAAAAAATAAAAATATTTATAACAATGCATTAATTATAGATTCCATAGGAAATATTTTGTACGATTTTATACAATGCATTATTATTAAAATATCTACCATTTCCCGTTTAATTAAAGATACTTGTTCAAAAAAATTGACAACACTGGCATGCCATTGATAAGAAAATTCATTTGGGGCAGTTAATTGTGCCTAGTAAGATTATAGTCATTTCTACTGTTACTGATAATTACCACAGTTCTTTCTTGCTATAACCGATACAGATAACAAAGTGTGCTATGACTAAGTGTAAGAAATTTTAATGATTCATTTTTACTTCACTTACAAATATATGTTACTCCATATATAGGTATCTCAAGTTTTATTTACTATTATCATGATATATTTTATATATTTTACAATTAATTTATTAATTAATTAATATTTTTCCATTGAAAATGAAAGAACAGGATATTTGTTAAGAGTACATGTTTCGAAAAAAAAATATGTTTTTAATAAATTTTGTTTAACTGCAAACAAGATATAATGATTAAAAATACATTACATTTATCTAGGTACGTACATTTGTGCAAATGCTTTAAATAATATTTATATGTGAAAGACACATGACCTGTTGTTGACAACTCAGATAGTAGGTACTATATTCCTTACTTATACCAAATCTATTTTTAAACAGCAAATTGTCCACGAGCATTTGTAAATTTGTGGAATCTGAAAATTAATTGGGAAATTATACGTTTTATCCAACATTAAGTCTGTAGGCTATAAAATTGGTTAGGCCTTCATATATAACAAAAATAACACAAAATTTTCCTTAAAGCAGATCTTTGTTGCTTACAACATAGACATTACGAAAACATATTAGTTTGTTTATTTGTATGATTTTAACAATGTAATCATATAATTATATTTTTAACAGCTCCTTAACAGAATGACAATACTATTTTGTATTTTAGGTTTTTAAAAGTTTTTACTTTATACCCTCATAAAATTTCTGATATTTACTTAAAAGATAATCCTATGGTTGTAAAAACAGTTATGAAGCATAGATAGTAAAAAAAAAATCAAATCAAGAAAATTTGTAGTGTGCAGAAAATATATACAGGGTGAAACGGGACAGCTGCGCCAAACACTAGGAACGGATTCTACACGTCGAAATAATAATATTGTTATGCGATTTTCACTTGTTTTCAAGCTATGACATACATTTCAATAAAAAAGTTAATTTATTCATATTCTATTAATCACAACGTTCTTTGATTAATTGTTCAAAAACACCACTATTGACCTCTAAACACCTTCTGCTTCCTCTACAAACGGAATCTGTAGCACTCCTGATTGCTGCATGTCTTTCTTAATAAAGTGTTGCAATATTGAAGTTACGTCAAATTAGTGCCTCCCAAGTGTTCACTCTAACTTTGTATACTTCATTCTTAAACCAGACCCATAAACAGTAGTCCAGTGCTGTGAGGTCTTGAGATCTTGAAGGCCGATTAATAGGACAACCACAGCCAATTCAACACCCTGGAAACCTCTCATCGTTCAAATGTAGTTTGACTGGACAAGCGAAATGTGTAGGAGCTCCATCGTGCTGGTAGTATATTCACATTCTCATGTTTATAGGAACATCCTCTAGTAGTACTTGTAATTTATTTTGTAAAAAATTTAAGCAATGGTCTCCTGCGAGTTGATTCTCCAAAATGAAAGGGCCCATAAAATAACTATCGACCATACCACACCACACATTTACCGAAAACCTATGCTGAAAATTACTTTCCAGTGTTGCGTGAGGATTTACATGTCACCAATATGAGAGTTTTGAGTATTTTAGGTATACCATCACATGTGAATCTTGCTTTATCCGTAAAAATATACAACAAGACGATTATTATTGATCCATCAACAAAACACAATACGCTTAGCATAATCTTCCGGTTGTAGGTGTTTTTATTACTCTTTTTTGTGGAATGCCCAATTGAGCAGCATTTCTTCGTGAGCATCATCTTCTAATAGACCTACAATATTTTCTAAAACGTGTCAATGAGCTCGTTCAGATGTCGTACTAGCACTGAGAAGCTTTCTGGTTTCACAGTTTGTTGAAAACTCTGATAAATACATTTTTATTAGCACATCTATGATGTGAAAACCATTGACAATATTCTTCAACAGCAGTAGTAGCATTGCCATTACAAAAATCATAAACAAACACCATATTTGCATACGCTAAATTCAAATAAGTTCTTGGCATTTGGTAACACTTTGATAGTACTAATGTGTCACCAAATAATGTTAAACTATTGCAAAAAAAATGATACTGACAAATATCCTACTTTTGAACTTTGGAACATGACATACTCTGATTTCAAATTCTTAAAATTTGTAATTACGTTATAACTTGAAAACAAATGAAAATTGCATATCAACATTTGAGTTTTGTCTTATTAGAAGTAGAATTCATTCCTGGAGTTTGGTGTAATTCTTCCAAGTATATATAACATTTCGCAATGCCATAACATATCCACATTAATGCTGTTGATTATATCTAAATATACATACATCTTGTATATTAATTTAAGTATTCTAAATTGATAATTAAGCCCTCTAGAAATTTATTCTAAATTGCGTAACTCTCATTCAACTATGGTTCAGCAATTGATTTTGTAGCATATATACTTTACCCAATGCACAAATTATCTATGTTCAAGGATCAATTTCGATGGGATTATTAATAATTTTTTATCATAAGCACACACTTAGTGATGGTAACGTATTGCTAAATATTTTGTTAATAGTTAGTAGCCTATAATAAAAATCAATATTTTTATTGGCCAATGAGTTTTAAGTTACAAATGTTTACAGTCTGTTTATTCCCAGATTGACAAATATTTACACATATGTTAAAGTTTTTACATAGAATGATTCATAATTAATACCATAAATAATTTAATTTCACTTATTTTCCAAGTGTCCTACAATTACTGCTTATTAATGTTCATTATTTGGAACCATACGTGAGTAATCGTGTTTTCAACCAACTTTTCATTGATAAGAATAAATATACGTACTTAGTAAATATGTAAAGTAGATTAATGATTGTTCTGTGTATATAATAATAATAATCATAAAAATTTCAGAAAGAATTTAGAATAGTTAAATAAAATCTGTATTAAACATTTAATAATAATGCTTTTTCCAAATTAGCACGAGTCTATCATATATCTTACCACATTTAATAATTCATATCTATTTTTGACTAACCATATAAGAAAGTTCTATGTCTAAGATCCTATTCCAAAAATTTGAGGAAATTTACAAAACACCTGTAGCATCAACAAATATACTGTTTTTATTGGTATCTACCATCTGATATCTTGTGCAAACATTAACTTCCTTTGCACATACCAGTAGTATGTTTTTACTCATGCGGATACAAGTTCAGCTTGCAACTTTAATAAAATATACTTATTATGGAAATTTGTTTTTATATCTTAAGAAAGTGATTATTAAAGCTGGCGCTTATGTTTCACTTCAAATTTGAATTGTGTATAAATAAACAATTACCTATTTAAAAAATAAAACAAAAATAATGCAAAGGAATTTTGGCACCTGATGAGCTTATGTAAAAATAAATGTTGCATCCAATTTTAATTGTCATTAGAAATGCATTGGCATAATTTGCAGTCTATAATTAAAATAATAACACCTGTTCCATCGCTTAATTATTAATTAGAATCAGGTAAAATAATATTCCCATCTACGATTCATTTATTAAACTAATTTGAGTCCAGTGAATGACAATCTGTGTAAAGTATTTTATTACTAAAGCTAATAATAGAAGTACTTAAAGGTCTTGGTCTGACCCAATAATAATGTATGATGTATGACGTAAATAACTAATCTGAAGAATAGTTTTTTAACCATTATTCGTCACAAGGTCTATTTATTATTTACTACGCTAAATAATGTGTAACTGTTGAGTAATTATAATCTACAAATTATGAAAATTATTAAAAACACAATATTAGAAACAGAATCATGAAATTTTGTTTAACTTCTAATTCTACATTTAAGTTGATAAAACAATATACATAGGTACTTCCAAGACTAACTCTGCAAATTTTTCCAAATAAAATTTTTTCAGAGAATAAACATAATTCATATTTTTTTGGCTCATTTAACAATAGCTACCATTAATATAATTTCATTATGACCCTTAATTGAAAGTTTTACCTTATCTGATAAGAATGACACCTATTGTTGTTTATGTTCATAATATAATTCTAAAAATACAGTGTTATACTCTAGTTCAAATGTGGGTTCTAATTCCACAGTAAATTGGTACCAGGAATGTTTGTGTATGTCAAAGGGCATTATAATATGAACCTTAAAGCTGTGATATTCGGAACACATACTCGTGACACCAATCCTCTCAACGGAAAAGAGTAGCATCCTTTTCATGTTTTGATTGAAATAATTACTTCTTGATTGTAGATAAAATAAACCACTCAATACTCAATTAACATCTACCAAAACAAATTTTCAGAAACTAAAACAACTTTAATAATTTTGCATTCCATAAATGATTATAATAATATACCCTGTTTAAATGGTAAATACACATTTTTAAGTATAGTAAACTCATATATAAAGCACCCTGAAACCACTAGCTGTTCATATATAACGGTGTTTAATTATTCCTATACGTAAATGTCGATAGAAACCACTTAAAATTAATTAAGCGCTCTTAGCAAAATTACAAAGCTGTTACAACAGATAATAAGAAACTAAATAATAAGTATTAAGCTGATTCGTTTCATCCCCAAATAATATTTCCATTCAGTTAAAAACAAAACACAAGTCATTGTATGAATAAGCATTGTTTTTGTTATGTTACAAATATATCAATTTCATGTATGTTTGAATGATAGGTACCAATTTATAATGTTACTTTGTCAATACATAAAGCCTTATTCGTAGATATTTCATCAGATAATAAGTCTAGTTTAGTTATGTATATTATCTTCTGATGAATACAATAGGTACACTAGATAAAACAAGGGGACAAAGGCAATACAATAAAACATAACCTTGAGTTTTGAACTGAATATGACAATATACCTACATTATCTGTAATATTTACCTGTATAAAAACGGGAAATGGTAACAAATTAAAATGATCTAAATATTAATTGGACTCACCTTCGACATTGCTGGGATTTAAATTAAAATTATCAGTATTAAAAATTCACTATATGGCTAGGATACCTTCCCCTGATTACACAAAAACAATTCCATTTTAATATTGGTTTCTTCCTCTTTGAATTCGGCCAAATTTTACTTATTCTATTTCTAAATAAAAATATGAGTTGCGCACCACGCAACTTATAATGGATTTCTGTGTTTGTTATCTGATTCTAATACTGCATACAAGGATGAAACATGCGGCGTGCGCAAGGCACAAAGAGAATTTTGACATGTAAATAGCATAACAGTTGTCATGGTAACCGGTAGATTGTCGTGTTGTCACATTCGCAACCAGTAATACACCAGTGTACGGACACTAATCGAAGGACTGAATTGAATTTTAACGGGGCCTCTAACACCACCTCTATAAATACTTAATAAAAAAGTCGATGGAAGAACCAAGTAGAGACCGATAAACTAACGCGAGCAGCTAAATGACGGCAGATGGTTGTGGTGAATTCGCCAACAGAACGACTTTAGCTGACTCGCAGAGAATTCCAGCCATGTTGTTGCTTTACCACAGACAAAAGCTATCGTTCAGACAGGCCTGGAATAGGACAGCAGTTTTAACTTTCCGAATTGCCGATAGAGTACACCACCAGCAGAAATTTAGGAAGATTCTAATGTAGCGGCTGGCATTCCTACGCGTAGCTTAGCACAGCACAGTTTGGCAATGTTGTTAAGCGTACGCACGGATTTATTTTGTATACTTTTTTATCAATGTCTATTTTTTGTGTTACTGTATTTACTTATTTAAAATCACAGACAAAATAGCAGCCATAAACTATATTATCTATGGCTTTACATTTTAAATTCGCCAAGATGGTGTTAAGGAGGGGGGGCAGTAAAGTAGAGCCTGCCTTATAGAAAAAGCATCCTTGTAATTTTTTTGTTTTTATTTTATTTTAGTTTGGCTATGAAAGCACCAACATAATCGGGCCCGGTTTTTAGCATTTGTAGAATGTATTGCAAAATATATACAAGTAAAGTAAAGCGAAATATAAGTCTTCAGACATTGCATATATTTATTATTTTAAATAAGAGAACTGACTAACAATGAAACAAATAAAATTCGTACAACTATTTATTTTGTAGAAAAATTCTAAACTACAAAATATATACATACTAAATTAGTGACACATTGTTTTCTTAAAATAATGTTCTCTTAATAAGCAACGAAATATATAAGTATATTTCAGATGAGGACATATAAACAATTTCTTAAATATTGTAATTATAAATAAAAATTAATCTGTCTAAGTATATTACGTTAAAGAATGCACAGAAAATAATACATTCCATATAATTTTTGTTTCTCTTATAAATCTTTGGAATATTTTATTATATTTATATATTCTATCAGTATAAAATTAACTTTTGTTTAATTTATCACTCCCAAAAAATAGGTACTTGAGGAAATTAATTAGAAAGTTAATAAATAATTTAGTAAAAATCCATCTAGGTAGATAGATACTTATGTGGAATTTGGTTGGACTTTCTAACTAGGAAGGTCCTTTTGACGTCGTACCAGTGACAATATCCTGGGATTCTTTCATTTCAAATGAACTTATCAAAATGTTGACGGCCATAATGATGATGTTCACACATAGAACGAGGTTGTTAGCTTTACTGGCATTAGGATGGTCTCCTTCTTTGTTGATGTTGAGATAGGTTCCCAGAATGACACACAGGCATGCTTGAGCCACCTTTTGAGCAAAAAAATATAGAAAAATAAATAAAAAGCAAATAAATAAAAAATTAGGAAACGAACATATAAAAAACAAATTAAATTACAATTTCACATTATAGCAACAAAAAATGAAACGAATTTATTTAGACACCCTGTATTCAAGTTGCTTAAACGTGTATTTGAACCCCCATTGGTCTAGATTTAAAATGATTATAAATCTTTCCTGGTTCCCTCCACCGTAGCATTAACGGCAACAGCGGGGTCGAGACCAAAATTCATTTTAATTATTTCACTAAATAAGGCCCCTGTAACAAATCCTAGTGATATTTGATTTAGAATATTTGCTATAGTTTCGAATTTTTCATCCTCCCAAACTTTGAGTACAGCCACAATGATCGACAATAGAGCAGCAGTTACCTGCAGAAAAGAAATTCGAGTCAATATAATTGGGCAGTGCAGGGCAGTCTCTATTTATTTAATTCTATGTAAAGTACCACATATTTTACAGTGTACAGTAATTTTTGAAAATTTATTTCTCTAATAAGTAGGTATGTTTTATTTTGTAACTATTTATTTAAATTTTTTGGTAGTGTGTTAAAACTATACTGTAGCCGTCAAACATGTATCAAAATAATATCCAATATGAATTTCTATCATGCTTTACATATAACAAATTTAAATACAGATTTTTGACATTTATTCTTGAAATTTTATATAAAAATAGAAAACGTAAGTATATGTAATCTAAATTCCTGGTTAACCACAACTGAAATTTATAAAAATATGATTCTTTCCCTACTGTTCTCCTAATTCCCATTCTGACCAAAGCTATGGGGCATAAGCACAACAGTTGTCGCACCAAAATTTAAAGAAACATTATTTTCATCAAAATGGAATATTGAACAGTTTCCTAGCTGTGGTCTGTGGTTAGACTTCCTAACGTTTCAGACATATCGCTCTCTCCTTCAAAAGAAATTCTGAAATGGATTTCTTTGATTTTAGTTTCATTCTTGAAGCGGCATAAAATCTAAACCATAGACGTGGCACCCAACTGGGAAATTGCTTTCAAAGAATTCTGCAAACCAAGCTATTAATTAAAAATTTTATTACGGTTACCATTTAAAAACTTTGAGGAGTTTGGACAACTTTCCTTTTTTATTTTGTCTATTTTGATGAAAAAAAAAAGGTTTCTTCTAGCTTGTTGTGACATTTTTTATATAAACACCCCTAAATAATTGAATAATGAATATATTAAATGAATACTATTTAACTACGTTTGTTTATAGGTATCATGTGGATCCAATAACTTAAGAGGTTGACTTGTGTAGTCTAGACCAAACCCGGAAATAATAATATTGACGATAGAAATAAAAAATACAAAAACAAGGATAACATCGTTCAATATAACAGCTGCTCTGTGGTCTCTCTCTTTATTTATGTTCAGTCCTCCGATAATTACAAACATAATCGCCACCGCCAACTGAAAGATAAAAGTTATGTTAGGGAAATTAATTTAAGAAGTCAGATTTTTTACATGAAAAATTATAGCACCTCATTATTACATTTAAATGAATATACATATTTACATATTTATATACAAACTCTAATAAATGATGACTTAAATGACAACTTAAAAAAAATAAAATCAAAATTATTTATATCATTTAAAAAAAAACTGTCTGTAGAATATATAAACCATTTTAAGATATCTAGTGTAAAAAGAGAAACATAGGATTAAGTAAATTTTGCCAAAAATTAGGAATTGTCATGTAACTCGAAAACGATAAAACGAATATACCATCATCAATATATTTTCACCATTTAACCCCAAAATTACTAAAAAAAACTCTGAAAACTGCCGAGAACGTTACAGTCACCCCAATTGCATATCTGCAATAGTCTACCCAGTCATTGTTACAAATTTCCCTTTTTTTTTTGTTTTTGAAAAACATGTATTGATTTATGTGCCTTGAAAAACATAGTTTTCTTTTCACTATAAGCTTACTGTAACGCACCTAAACAACAAATGCAGACGTTTACGATGAGGACCCTTGCAATCTCCACAATGCTGGAATGTCTGGGCCATTTCTATTCGATGCGGAAAAGTCCAACCTACATACAGACACCAAAATCCGATGCGATCGGACCACCCCTGCGCCCAGCGTTCACAACTGAATATTCGTTATATATATTTTTTCTTAATATCTCTCGTGTTATGCTATCGAATATCGTAATAAGAATAAAATATAGAAAATCATACTTTTATTGTAAATTTTTCCAACCGAATCTTCCAGAAACAGAAAATTACATTTAGTATGATTAAAAATAGCAAATTTATTTTATTAAAACAGATAAAGGCAGTCTTAAGACATTTTATACATCAAATATTAAAGTAAATTTTTAATATTTTCTCATATCAAATTTTAAATGTCATCAAAAAAACAGGATAATTTTTACTCAACTTTCGGCTGCGAAATATATGGATGTCCTAAAAGCAGCTGTACAAACTTTAAGGAGGCATTTCTTATGTATTAATAGTTTAGGTGTGTACCTATAATATTTCCTAGCTATTATACATATATTTTGGTCTATAATAGGCCTATAAAATTTTTGATAACATCACAATTTGTTAAATATTTCAAGAATGCATGATGATAGTGTAACATAATTTGATATGTTACACATTACATTTTTAGTACTTAAAAACTATAAGACGGAATTCTCAAAGCTATAACCTGTTTTGAAATCTGTTTGTACTTATGCGTTTTTAAAATAACACATTTTAGAAATTATGTTACTGTTTTCACAAACGCACTTTTTATAATATAACCCCCAGTTTTTCGAAACTAATTTTAATTAAATGATTGACACAAAGAAATAACAAAATCTGAACATAAAAAAATGCATTCACATTGTTATAACACACGAAGGAGACTTTGGTAAATAAAATACTGAATTTGGTAAAGCTACTTTTACGAGTTCTTGAAATATTAAAAAAATGTATTAAACACTTTAAGACTTAGGTGCATGTAAAACAATGTACTTTACTTTAAACTTTAAACCAAAATTTATATACCTAGTTTTTTTTAATTATCTAAAGAGTGGCTTCTTCCTTAAAGTGTGTGCACTTCCCCATAGGACAACCTGTGTTAATTACTCATATAATATTTAACTGATTACTATTATTTATTTATTAGCACCCACTGCGGGAACATCAGGAGGTTCAAATACAGCGTATTTTGCAATTGTTGGGTCAAAACAAGAAATAAGAAGATTCAAGACTGTTATAGCAAAAGCGGATGCAGTGGTAATATGGTTAAGGAGGTTTGCAGTGTAGTGGTACGTTTCTAGATGCAATCTGCAGTCTCTTAGTAGGTGTAAAGACAGGCAGAGAACTCCAACTACAACCTACAAATTTCACCATTTAGGCATTTAATATAATAATTGAAAGAAACATGTAAATTATAAGGCATCAATTATATTTCATAGTAAAAGTAAAATAACAATCGATGTAAGTATGTACGTAATTATTATTTCTATATTTAGATACTATTTGAAATTAGTTCATTGTGAGCAAATATAATTTTCTACCCTTATAATAAATACATAAGTGTGATGCTTTTATTACCAACCCGGAATTTTTGATTTTTTTTGACGTTACAATATATTGTTTACCTTTCAATTTTCAATAACAGCTTTAAAGTTAAACTTACAATTAGATGAAAAGGGTCTATAAATCATGAGAAAATTAAAATACAAAATGTGACATCATATTGCAATACTTACTGATATTTTATTACTTCTTTATTAATCAAACTAATAAAAATTGAGTATCACTACCGACACTATTAATACCTGTATATAGGGCTTTTCAAAATAACGTACCATAAATTTTATATACTAGGAGTAATAGAATATTTAATAATAAGTTTTTCTTCATGTTCGTGTTCCTCGTGTTTATTGTGCTACAAAACTTGAAGATGTATAGATCCTTATTAAAATTTTCTTATGTACTTACTATTTATTTCTAAACAAACAATATACGTCTTGTTAAAATTAGGCAAACCACTTTGTTTTCAAGAAACAGTGCATCCAAGTATATAGGCCGTGATATAACAACCCGAAAAACCATTCTACATACTTTAGATATAGGTAGGTACTCACAATTTTTATTATTGAATCAGTGGGGAATAATGTACAAAACAAAATATTAGGTAAATTAATTTTAAAACAATTTTAAACAGTTAACAATAAAGAAATTAAGAACCTATTACAACAAATATTCCAAGTATGTATTCTTTATCTCGAAAATGAAGCAGTTTGGCGAATTTTGACATATTTTCATTATTTAGAATTAAAAAGGACTAAGGACCAACAAAATCTAACTTCTAAAAGCTCGTTGTCCAAAATATTCTTGATGGTTTGTAGCATAATGAGCGTCCTGTTTTTAAACCTCAAAATTTCGAGAGCAATCGATATATTATCGATTAACTTTGGAGATAGTTTGTACGAAGAAAAATTTTTTAATATTATGTATATTACTCCTAGAATTTATGGCAATATTCTATACAATTCAAGTTGACAAGTAAGTGAATTTGTTCAATTATAAATGTTTTCAGTTCGAAAGTAGACAATTAGGTATTTTCTATGTAACCACTAAATAATGGATTAGTCATCGATTCGAATCATTGTGTTGTTGATTAATAGCGTCTCTATTTAAATTGGAATAACCGTTCAATTTCCGGCACATCAGGATTATATTATTGGTTTATTTGGTTATTCCAGTTATACAAACCTGTAGCACAATGGAAATCGTGATGAGGCTAAGCATCAGAGTGTAAAATTCATGCTTCTCACCAACTTGAAGGACGTATTTCAATTGCGATGCGTTTGCCGTTAAAAGGGCTACGTCCAAAAGGCCTTGTGCTATGGTCTTTTTTGTGGCATACTTGTTAACGTCCAATGATTTCTGAAAACGAGATCATATGTCAACCACAAGTATATAGAAGAGTTTAATTAAAAATGAGTAACTTCACAACCCTGTATAATATTAAGTTTGTCAACATCTCTCAGAAAATTGTACTTTCATTTTTATAACCTTAGAACATTTCTAAATCTGAAACATATGTACCTATGTAAATTAATTTAATATTGGATCCGAGAATACATGTTAGTATTTTTTTAAACATATAGAGTTTTACATTAAAGTATTTAAAAGATCCTAGATTTCGGGTAAAGAAATAACTAATTTTTCCAATATTGGTTGTCGAAGATAGATTGTAAGAGACGTAGCATTGGCAATTTTAAGAAATTTTTAGTTTACAAGTATCCATCTAATACCACTTAATAACACAATAAACATTTAAATTCAGGCATCACACATGTTTGGATCCAATAATAGATTAGATTAATATTTTCCTAGTATGTAGTTGATTACAATTATTAATATCTTATTTTTTGATCTAATATTGTTTTTATATAATCCTGAATTTTTATCACAAATAAAAGATACCTATTTGAGAACTGATTTTTTGATGTAAATATATTTAATTGCACTATAATATTAAAAGTTACGTAATTTAATGAATAGGTACTATACAGGATGTAATTGAATTCTTGACCAAATTTTAATTACACATTCTACCACAAACTATAGTAAGAAAAATGAATATATGTGGTCGGAAAAGCTTCGATTATGATTTATGTATGTATGTATGTATGTCGGGGGGGTGGTGGAAAATTGCTTCTCCATCGCGGCACTTAGGCCTTATTAGGCCCCTTGTACACCCCCCTTTCATTACTCGAGTACTTTTCTTCAAACCATCCTATTACTACACGGGTGGCTTGGTGGCAAAGTCTCGTACAATTTTTTATGTATGATAGCATGGGCTTGAGTTACAGAGATTTATTGCTCTATTCTCATTACCATTTTATCGAGGATCACACGCAAGCGGAAGGTGCTGAGCGACCCAGGTCTCTGGTAGGCTGACACAGCCACATCCCGAGCCTGCCTTAGGTCCATCCAAGTTCCAGCCTGCGTCCGTGATGCATACCTCGGCCGATCGAAATCCATCGACCAAGACACCCGGCTAGGCGGTTCCCTCGATTATGATATACTGGGAGTGCAAAATTTATGAAAATGTGTGGTCTGTTGTATTACAAAAAAAAAATAGTTGAGAGTAGCCATGTAAATAATACATATTTAATTATTTTATTCATCGATAACATGGTTATTTGAAAAATAATCATGTTAGTCTCAAAAATAATAATTATTTGACGTTTTGACACTTAACAATAATTAACTATTGTGACTTTTATCATTCACTTCTGAAAGAGTAATCTGTCATAATAGTGGGCCAAATCTGAAAAACTTGGAAAATAAAATTACGAACGAAAATTACTAAGTCCTACTCTGAAACTATGTCTCTGGATGTAAAAAAGCTGTGGGATGCCTATACGTATGTGTGCAATTCAGCTTCAAGCTAATTGCCAATTTTGAAGAAAATTATTACAGCCGTTTTTTTTAATAATAAAAAAAAAATTAACATCCTGTATCTCGAAAACGAATCGTTTCCGGATATACTTCTATTGAAACACTTTTTGTTGATTTATAATAGTATTTTAGTTACTCCCTATATAGAGAGTATTTCCAGTTATATGGTTACTAAAAAATGTATAAACGTGATTTTATTTTTATTTGCATATGTTCTAGAAACTCAATAATTGCATTTACAAGTTAATAGGTCTAGGCGCGACACTGGCATAATTATTGTAAGTAAATAATATCATTTAAATCAAAATTCAAAGTTCTTCTTAACCGTGAGGAAGTGTATCATTAAAAATAATGAAGCTGACAAAAATCTCATGTAATTTTGCAAGTAGTTATAAGTAAATTATACATTTCAAACCGTTATCAAAAGTGCTAATAAACATGAATTAAATATAAATTTTAATTATAGTTGTGCATGACTATCTATAATTTATATACAGGGTGTTTATTAAACATACGGCAAAAATTCAAGAGACTATTCTAAGAATATTTTGTCCTCTGATGATTTTTGAAAAGCCGCTTTGTTCTGAAGATACAGGGCGAGAAAAATTTTCGACAATAACGACATTTTATTAGGTACAGAAAATTATATGTAAAACTTCTTAATCTCCAAGAACTGTTGAAAATGACTACCTCCAGCTAGTATGCAAGAATCCAATCTTCTCATCGGCTACTGAACTCTTTCAAAAACATCAGGGTCGTTTCTTATTGAGTTACACCCAGCAATTATTTTTTCAATCCTCCACATTTTCCACTGGAGTAGTAGGTATTAGTAGTATAGTATTTTCCATTGGATAAACTAATGACTAGTACTTAGTAGTACCTGGATTTAACTGCACATTCTCTTCCACTTCTACCGTTCTTACTGTCATAGACCTTCCTGATCTTCCACTTCGTTTCAGTGTGCCTGTTTCATGAAGACGTTGACGAATACTTTGCAAGGTTTTTCTATCAGGAACATTACGGTCAGGAAATCATTCAATGAAGTATAAGCGATTTATGTTAAAAGATGTTACTAACAAAAGTTTACTATTAAAGAGACAAAATATATGTTAAACAGCCAAATGTCAGTCTCAACAAATTCGTCACAAAAAATGATCGATCACGAGACGTATTTAAATGAAATCCATGTTCAGACTGGTTTCTATTCAGTGCCCGCACTTGCCTCCTTTTTTTCTTTCAAAAAAATTATATTCGGTATACCCAGTGTAGTACGCCATACTTTTATTTCGACTATATTAATAATTTCAAAAATATCAAAATTGGTTTTGTGGAAAATTTTTCTCGCCTTGAATCTTCGGAACAAAACGGCTTTTCAAAAATCATCAAAGCCCAAAGTATTCTTAGAATAGGACAGGGAATGACCCCTTGAATTTTTGCTATATGTTTAATAAACACCCTGTATATATAGTCAAATATAATACTTCCAATATTTGCGAAAGGACGTTGCTGACGATTTCATCATTATTAAAAGAATAGGAAAAATATTGTAACAATTATCTTGTACTTTTCAATTATCTTATGAATAATACCTATAAATTATTATTTCAGTTCTTGAAAATAGAATTCAGTAGCAAATCGTTTAATACATACAGTTTTGTGTATGAGTCGGGAACATTTCGTATTGATCGTAATTATTTGTTTTGATTATTTTATAAACAAAATCAGTAAGTTTAATAATAATTATGAATATCTTAAATGCTAGGCATTATCAACCAACTGGTGATATCATAACTTATACAGTCAGATAATTGACATAATTTAATTGGAACGCATAGGTACAGATTATCTGTGAGTATTTCACACAAACGGGTCAAAGTTTAGTGTAAATTTAAGTAAGTAAAAGATATTCTTTGATACATTTCGACATCGCTCATCATATTTCATAAATCAATGCAAATTATTAAGCTTTTACTCTTCTAAAAATTAAAACAAATCATACCAAAATATCTATTCCTTCACCACTGATGGTATTTGTACGAGATGTGCCCTGAGCTGCAAAGGACATTCTGTTGCACTTTAAAACTTTCACCAGCAGTACTAACACAAACTTTACACCTTGCAACTTATAGAACAAGTAGGAGTTTCAAATTAGAGCACTATCGATTTTGTACACTTATACGTACCTACTTACATATTTATTTTAGATAATTCCAAACAAGGAATTAAACAAATGCTCGATTAAGAACAGCAATACTTTATTTTAATTTAATTTTTTATCAAAATCGATATTGATAAGTGAAGTGGCATTTAAAGGTAGAGGCTTTTACTGTAGATCGTTAAGAACTAACCACAGATGTTGTTGTTTGTAGTGAGTAATTCTAATTACATTACCTACTTAATGTTAGTTTTATAACCTTCATTAAAGTATGATAAATTCGCTATTAGTACCGAGTAGCGCTGCATATGCGGTACTGGCTTTCTTTATTTTAAATATAGGTAATTAGCAACATCCGTAAAGTTTGTTTACTACATTTTTACACAATTTCGTAAAAAATATGATTTCCTAATTAGTGTATAGTAATAAAAAAAATAGTAACTAATTGCATTAGAAGGCCCAATCTTTGGATCACTTGATCACTAATATGTTGATATTTTAAACTATGCCCTATGCTCAATTTGACATGAAGAGATGTAGAACTTGATATTCTTTTGATTTTATTAAGTACATTAACGTTTATTGTTATAGTTTGCGATATATTCGTTTTTTATATTTTTGTTGCTATTCTCTCTTTAAAAAAGGATTCTACATAACAGTACTATTACCAATGCTCTAAATCAACATTTCTTTTAATAAATGGATCGGATGAAACTCCTTAATTGGCTAGGTAGATCTCCTAATCTAACAAAATCCCAAGTAGACCATCATCGCATTAACGTAATCACACAATAGTTTTTGGTCATCCAAGATCAGTACTACTCATAAATCATATTATTACGTTTTACCCTTGACTATATAGTGTATATAGTCAAAGGTGTTACTCTTCAAAGTGGGACTGATAGTTTGGTAATTTCGTGCAGTCAACGGATACCGCATAATTTCTTGCGAGAATGACTGAAATTTTTAATGGACCTTCAAAACAAGCACTTAATCTGTCACCAGTTTATTGCTGTCAATTTAATACATACAGTGAATGTTTATTTGAGTACTATTTATTGTGAAAGAATGGAAAACGTTAACAGTTATTCAAATGCTGCATTATTTATTCATGGAGAGTGTCACAAGATAATAAATAGCACTTGAAGGGTATTTAATAAGAGATATCCTCATTTACCAATTACCACCAATGAGTAGATGCATTTTACGAAAAATTTTAAGAAATCAATTAGAACATGGTCGAATTTCTACACATAGAATTTTGGCAAAGCCGAAACATCGTCAATATTTCTGCATATTTTCATGCTCACCCTGAATCATCAATTTGTGCTGCTGAACAGGATTTAGGCATTTTAAAAACTTCCATCCAAGAGTTTTTGAAAACCTAACGGTCAACATCCATTTAAATTCAATTTTGTACGCTGAAAGACGAAGCCAATTCTGTGAAATGATTTTAACTCCAACACAAGAAAATCCAGAATTTTTACGCAAAATCATTTGGAAATATGAGTCAAAATTTAGTAATGAAGGTATTTTTAATAGACACAATCGACACGTTTGGGCATCAGAAAATCCACATGTCATCCGGGAAAGAAATTTGCAACACAAGTTTAGTGTCAACACTTGAAACTACGGGAAATTTTAGTAAAAATTTAATGCGTCCGTAGAAATCACTCAAAACATATTTGCTATAAAATTCATGAAAAGGTTTTATACAAAATGACTTCTGCTCCTATCAGTGACTGTAACCAAAAAGATAGCAAAGTTGAAAAGGGAGCTACCATAAATGGTATTTTCACCACTTGAAAGTAATTTTTGTTACGTTTTGATAATACATTTTTTTTAAGTGTCTGTTATTTTAACGTGTTCATGATATAATTTGAAGTAATTTTGACGATCTGGTGATTACATCAAAACCGACAAAATACTTTCCCGCCCAATGAGACACTTACATTAGAGAGATCCCCCTGAGCAACGTTATCACCTTTTTCTCTGTAATAGGTTGGTTAGCGGCTCAGGTAGATTGATCTCCTAACGGGGGGAAGTACAAGGGGCCCAATGGGGCCTAAGTCCTAACAAGTCACAATGACCTTAGTATTAGTATGTGTCACTGTCTGTGTTTGTCGAGATTTCTGTTTTTCTTGTAAGTATTTGTAACAAGTAAAATTCATTCTTTTCTGTCCATTACAATGTAATATGCAAAATCGAAAAAGGCACGCCTTCGGAAATACATTACACCAGAAATTCTTGATTGTGTTGGTGAAAATTTTGAGAAACGTAGGTATTCGATTACGTACTTAGCCATTATTATTTATTATTGGATATATTTTTTGGTGTTGTTGTTATGAATTTTGCATATTAATTTATTTCATTGTTAATATGTATTTTTAAGTTTACGTGCTATCTTCATATGATCATATTGCCTTAAAAATTATAGCTGCCTTACACGTACCTGTAATTATTTTTCAATGGTAACTTTTACATTAAACATTGCTCAGACATAATTTTCACATGTCATTTTAGTTTAGTTCCATTGTTATGTGGCATCCAATTTTTATTAACACTTTATAACAAAGATATACCATACTTTAATAAAAAAGATGGGAAACTGTATTAAATTTAATGTATCTATTCTCTCGTTTAAAATAAATAAATATTTTTGATGATACCTGATCCAGTTTAAAATCACTTAGGTACACTGAAACAACGCATTTTAGACTCAGTACCTGTTTAGTGAAGTAGGCCCTAAATTTAACGAGAAACTAAAAAATAGTCGAATGTACCTATGGGATGTCGATGTTTCATTTGAGAAATGACGTTAGGTAATGCCCAGAAGAAATAGAACACTGTTATTATAAACAATAATTTTAAAATGTGACAAAATTGATTTGGTACAACTTTTTTGTATTACTGGTATGACTAGAGTTATGAATAAATCTGTCTTAAATGAGAGATCACGTATACATATAATTACTACATTCCTATACCTACTTTAATTATTATCCGAGAATTTTACAAACAAGGATTCGAAAAAATTCCATTCTCCGAGGAACAAAACAACTAGTAGTTAAGATTAGTTTTTCAACGGTAGTGAATCTAGAATGATAATAATTCTTAATCTAATCTAATGATTTCATCATGTTTACAACACGTTTTTATTTTACAGTATGAAAACATTCACTATGACTTTGACACACTGAATTTACAATGTTTGTTTTACTTTTATTAGCGTCCTACTAAAGTATCGGCAACAACGAGAGCCCAATATTTTATACCAAATATTTTGGAAATCCTAGAAGGTAGCAGAAATCTTTTCTGTAAATATATTTAACATATACAGAGTGATTCTGAACTTATTTGAAAGAAATTAGGAGTCCTTACAGAGTCGATTTTATGGCAGTAGTTTTTTTTCTATTTCTTAAGAATTGGAAAAAAGAGTTGTTATAGTTAAATCATTCTTGACCTCTATGTAATATTGGAATAAGACTTTTTTTTATTTATTTTATTTATACTGTATGTATATTTATTTTATTTATATTACTAGTAAGTATATGTGTGTTGTCGTTGTATATCTACTTACTTCTCTTTTTGGACAAGTTCAGAACATAAATTTTAAATTGAATCCAATATTCAAGATTCTATATTTACTTTATTGTAAAGATATTAAGCCAATTTAAATAAATAATAAAGAAGCTCGTAGAGTATTTCTCCTAATATCAACAACAAGTTTTATCTGAGTTTAAATATATTTTGCATACCTTGATTTTTAATCAGACACAACATTGTTTGACTTAATTTGACAGGATTTTAGGCCAATTTTTCTAATTTATTTGAATTAGCTCAATAGCTTTTAAATAAAGTAAAAGTACAGGAGCTGATAATATATGTTAAAAAAATAATAAAAGTTCTGTTTTAATATACAGTTATTGTTTTATCTATATCTATACTAATATTATAAAGAGGAAAGATTTGTATTTTTGTATGTATGTATGTTACGAATAAACTCAAAAACTACTGGACGGATTTCGATAATTCTTTCCCCATTAGAATGCTACATTATCCCTGAGTAACATAGGCTATATTTTTTATATCCCAAAATGTTTAAAATAAATGTCCACCCGTGCGAAGCCGGGACGGGCCAGTAGTAGTCTATAAAGTAGATGTTGGATATCCTTTATAAATAGCGTTAATTTAATGTAAGCCATAAACATAAAATGTTGCAATTCCAGAAATATTTTAGGATTTATAAAACTTAATTATAGTTGTGCATATGTGCATAGGAAAGAGTCCGAATATCTAACACTAACATATTTTAAACAAGAAACATCCTATTTTAAATTTGTCAAAGAAATAACGGTAGATTTTTTTAATTAATTTTAATAATATACCTTCAATATCTCCGAAAGAGCGTTACCGTCGGCTTGCACCAAATTAATATTGCTGGATGTAACTTTACTGTCCACCATTTTTAACCATATATTTATAACCAGACACTAACAGTTGTTCTAATAAATTGTCGTAGTGACGATATTTGTATATATATTTTATAGATAAAAAAATTATCTAAATAATTCACAACAATAACAAAAATAATATTGAGCTTTTCAATAAAGGCAATTTGTTTAATTCGTATTGTGTATGTTAATGTACACATTACATGGATGTACGGTATGTTCTATTTCAAAGGAAGCAAAAATAAATGCTCAAAATTTAAGAGAAATTTAGTTTTATTGTTTTATATTTATGACAAGATTAGATAACACCAAGTTCCTTGAATTTAATAATATGTAAAATGGTCCCTAGATAGTAATAACAGCAATTAATAAGTAGCGTCGTTTATTAGACACATCTCTTTATCAGAAAATATTTTCTTTATTATTATTATTATATTAATATTACGTGCCTAAATGTCATTTATTTTGTTTGCCTTTACCGCCAATAATCCTAACCAAGAAAAATTTCTAAATCATTGAAAATTGTATGCTATTTTCTAATAAATTTATGTAATACTTTTTTATAAATTGCAGGAAAATATTGACTTTCCAAAAATTAATTGGCAACTGAAATTAGTATAAGGTAAAATATTTAATATAATATAAAATACCTACTTTTAAGAATAAAATATGTTTGTCATAGATTAGATTTTTTTTGAAATTTTAATATTAAAAGAGTCAAATCGAATAACCTGTGTGACCCAAACGGATGGGTTATTTGAATGGAATCTATCTTCAAGGTTAATAGATTTTCTATAAAGGGAGCAAGAGCG